GTTCTCAGCAACCTTGTGAGTAGTTTCCTTCATGTAAATAACTTATAGTTTAGTCGAACTGGTGTGATAAATTGAGTTGCTATTCCGGTGTTTTACTACAGTCTGTTTTATTTTTATCCAAGCTGTTTTCCACAATAACTTTTAGTTGCACCACTGCGTCGTCCTGTCCCCCAAATGTGTTGGAAAAACCTCCCGGTTGATGGTCCATAAACCCTAGGACTGAATTCGGTTTGTTTTTGGTTTCGGTAGTCCACTGAGCGTAATATGGACACTGGTCGCTTTAGTATGAGTCAAGTAATGATGGGAGCTTCGTCATACACAGCCTCCACATCCTGTCTGATGTGATGGGCGTTGGTTACTTCGGCCAGCCCCACCCAAATGATGACGTGATGCTTCATTCAGCGCCAACCACCGCTTCTTCTTCGGAGAGAGCAGGTGTCCAGTATCTTGTGCTTTCACCTCTGACTAACAATCATCACCTGTCTACCAGAAATCAATTTGAGTGACGCCTGGGTGATTGGTTATGTCAAATGATTGGAGTTGTTCTTGTAAAACAAACAAGCGACTGTCACTTGGTGTTTGTTTTCACGCATGAACTTGATGTCTGTTTTAGTTCGAACGATGAATCGATCAAAGCCGGCGGCTGATACGGAAGCCAGACTTTCTTTCGACTCTTGTTGGGCAGTTAAGAATGAGAAAATGAGTTGTAAACCAGCGTTGTGAAAACCGAGATAACAGATAAATTTTTAATTTACATTTTTGCCAATTTATCCGATAAACTGTGCCAACATTCAAAATGGGTCAGCTAGGGAAACGACTGCGTCCTGCTCAGTGATGATGAAGTCTAAAAAGAATTATTGAGGTTTTCTAATGAGGCTAAACTCTATATGAACCACAATACTGCTCTCGGAATTTGATAAAAGTGCGTATCAGCTTTTGCACGGAACTTGATTTGCCGTGCTAAAGATAAGGAATGCGAATGATTTCGATTGATGAAAAGGCCGCTATTCGATCAGTTTAGTCGAAATCTATCAGAATCTATTGACAGCGTAATCTGACAATAAATATCTGTCTTTTTGGCCAAGTATCGGTTCTTCCTCATGAGACAGAGTGAACTATGGTTAGATCAGCTCCCATCATGGCGACTGTTGCATTTTTTGCTACCCTCAGGATCGGATAACTATAAGCTTCACGAATACCAACCTCCGTTGCTCTAGTTTAGTGGCGCCCTTTCCTACGGGCAGATATTAACTCATGAGACCAAACCCAAGCTTTTATCTTGTGGAGCTGAAATCATTTTAACTTATCAAACTCACCGTATACTGTTTGTTGGTCCCAAAGAGTTTGAGGTGGAAGCGGTTCACTGATAAGAGTGTGTTTGAAATACAGGTGAAGTATTCCAAACTGGCTATTTCTGTTAGAAGGAGTCTTTTTGCTGGCTTATCGATACAAGCATCCTGGTGTCAAGTCTTTGCAAAGACTTCCAAATACTCAAACCCTGGGTGGTGGGGGAAATTTTTACAGTATAACTGGAAGATCCATTCCGGACCGGTGCACTTGGTTAAGGCAAAAGACAAGCAGTCTCTACATAAATTGATACAGCTTCATTTAACCTTGGTTCTTCTACAGTTGGGCTGCTTGGAGTGGCGAACGTCAAATCCTGGACCAAATCGATCTTCTCGGTCGAAATCGGGAGGACGTCGAAAATCGGTAGGATGTGAGACTTCATACTTGCCTGAATCTGAAGTGGCGCAGTCAGCTGGAGAATTCACTGGTTTCCAACTTTATCGAACGTGCCGTTCAAAAGCCAGTTTAGGCGCGGACGCTCTGCTACGTCGTCTTCGCATGCGCTCATTGGTGAAGGACCGTCGAAGTCGGTCGAAAACAGGAGAGGATTTGCAATCAGCGTGTTCAATGCAGCGCTCCTGCTCCACTCCAAGACCATGCCATCTCTCCGAGAGCTGTGAAGAGTGGCAAGACCAAAACGCTGTGTTTAAAAGCCGATCGTGTGGCTCGCATCTGAATAGTACGAAACAATCTGTTTTGTCTTTGAAAAGTGCTCCGGAGATGGTCAGTAGCAGCACAACAGTGAGTTTACAGTCTTTAACACAGCCATACCTTACCAGTAACCCTACTCTATCCGCATGACATTCAAATCACTTAAACTATACTTGAGATTCTCTAGTCCTCATCATTCATCACTGTCAATTGCTCAAGTTCACCCATTGGTCAAAACAACCACTCTGTTTCAGTCAGTGGACTCTTTTAAGTGGCTTCTTTTTTAGTTTAAAGAAGGAAGGTTTCCCAGAACTTGTCACGATCCACAGATAGGGCGTCTTCCACTTGGTCGTATCTGTTTAAAATTTGCCGATACTCAAGTTTTGACCCATGGTTAAGGCAAACCTTTTACAAACCTGACTTACTCATGCGTCAGTTTGGCCTCCACTAAAGAATAGATATCTCGCCCGGAAGTCAACTCTATGGAGACAGTAATAAGGGCTCTGATCGCCTTGAAGAGAGACCATCACAGAGTTCTTTATCAGTACCCAGGTGGTGTGAAACCCCCTACACCGCGGAACAAACATCTGTTTACTTGTTTCAGAAGAGCTTGGTGAGCAATCGGTGGTTTTTATTTGGGCAACGTTTCGCGTTTGACACAAAAGCTTCATCAGGCCAGGTGAACAGGTCACCAAATTGGCCAAATTATAAGACAGACGGGGAACCAATCAGCCAGTCCTCTTCAGATTATCACACTAGATCAGTGATGAGTGTTAATTAACGGCCCTTGTCGGCTAGTGTGGTTGCCAAAGTCTTGAGTTTATGGGTTAGAGAAATTTCAAATTACTCCTGATCACGTTTTGTTCCTTAATCTTCCACTTCAAGGTGCTTCACTTGATGATACACTTGGGGTGGTAGATTTTTCTTGATCTTCGTAGGCATGTGAATGTTTTGACGATTTAGTTGGGGGTAGGGGAGGTGCGTAAGGTTAAGTGGGACCCAGATGATGACTATCCTTCCCTCTGCTAATCGCATACCAACACGTGTTAGCCCGATCGACCCCAGACGGTTCCTTACACGCTTGCCAGTTCCACTACTTCTGTTCTGTTAACACTGCGATACTTGGCGATCTCTACCGCCTCGGCTGACAGTCTCTGTGACGCGAACCGTAGTCCTCGCCTCAAACCTGAGCATTTTCTAATTTTCTAGTTTGTGTCCCGTGTCTAGTGCGTGTTCTGCGATCGCCGAGTCTTTCAGTAACGGTTGATATTCATGTGTTTTTCGGCGGCGTGTTTATTTTCCTACTATGCTCTCCGATTCTGGTGTGTAGTTCCCCGGCCGTCTATCCTATATAGACCTTGGTGCAGTCGTTACACTTAGTTTTGTGGAAACAGTCCTTAGTTCTGTTTGCCGGGAGGCAATCCTTCAATTGCACCAGTGCAGAGTGTCCCCCCTTTGGAAAGCTACTCTCACGCTAGCCGTGTTTAGAATTCTTCAAATGACCTCCGATGTCTCTGGTTTATATGGAATAAGAGCAGTTCCGATGCATTCCCTGTTGGGTTTCCCTACCGGTACCAACACCCTTCGCAAATGACGCTTAATCAAGCTAGCTGGATACCCACTGCCCCGAAGTTTGTTCTTTACTTTAATCTGGGCCGCTATCCGATCAACTTTTTCTGTGCGCAGAGCCCTTACACGCCTAAACATTAACAACGCAATACTGGCGAATACCGACTTCGGATGGGCAGACGAGTAGTTTAAAACTGCCGCAGTGTCGGTTGGTTTACTTGGTTCTCAAAGTGGGGAAACTCTAGCTCGTCAGCAGCTACTGACCAGGAATTGTAAGCGACAATTATACTTGTTGCAGTTAACCTGGAGCACTATATGTAGATCCAAACTAAAGCGCCGAATCGTGGGGTTTGTCAGAATAGTTTATATTTACGTACTTCGCTTACTAGATTATCTCAGGCGTCAGTTCTTCCAAAATCCAAAAAAGATAGGGTGACGTGGCGTCCAGTAGGTGAACAATGGTGAAGCGATTTTTGCTATTCACGAAAGGTGCCCCTGCAAGATCTATGCATTCTCGATCGACAGAGGCTGGTTACCCTGTCGGAGCACGGAGGGGTCGCACGTAGTAGCCTTCAATCGAAGGTATGCGTTACAGTCATTCAAGCCATTTCCTGTAAGACGATCTCGAAGATGGATTTTCAGTCATGCTAAGATTAGACGGCTCTCAGTCAAAGAACCACCGCCTCCGGTAACTTTCTAAAATTGTTTCAGCTGGACTCTGGTGTAGCACCGAGTACTTCCCGAGTGTGTCGTGTTTTATCCTCAGAAAAGTTAATTTTATCGATTTTAAGTAGTACAGGACTTTCATCTGATACAAGCGTCAAGTTCTAGTCGTTTAAGTTTCGCTACTTCATCCTCACCGGCTCAGGATGCACTCGCACGATAGAAGGATGACGGTATACACTCCATGCCTTTTATTTGGGAACTATGAGCCTCGGAGTAGCCACTGTCACCTCTCAAGAAGTTCTCCGTTTGAAGAACAATCTTAGCTCCTCTGTGGAATCTACCGAAGATCCGGAACAACTTACAAGTTCAAGAAACAGGTTCGAATAACACGGATTAAAATGAGCGAGAAGTTTACTTAGTTGCTTCTAAATTTTTGGCAACCTTCCTGATACTGACCTTAAATTTAGCAACTGTAGTAAGAATATCCCCACCCGACGAGTTGATTTTACTCAAATATGGACGAGATAGATAGATATGGACGAGAGAGATATTCCACACTGCTTTCCCAATTTGTTCCACCTTACACACATTGAAACAGATGTGATTTCATCGTCTGTAACTGATAACACGGTGGTGTTTGCAGCAAGAGAGCTTCCTGTGGTCTGGTTCATTAGACAACAAGGTTGAGAAACGAATGGGTTTTACCCGCTTTCTTTCTAGTTATCACTCGCGTTCCAGTGGACTAACTTGTCTAATTGTTTAGTTTGGCCAGTGTGTTCAGACTTCAGCACAAATACCAGTCCTTAAGTTATCTGCTGATTTCTGGCGATGTTTTAGACCGATTACTAGCCTTCTTGAGGCCATGGTCCATCTGTCCCCTCGTGGCATATCTCCATATAACGGTCCAAGTATGATTGTTGCTCCAAGGAGTTTGAAATCCCAGATCATCTACTGGAGTTTGAAAATGCCGTGTTCGACATCTCAAGGCGATCTCTACTTGGGGACTTACACAACCATAACCCACACCGAACACCACTGAGGTTCCTCGAGATTTACGTGGAAGCGACTTCCGCGATTTTACTGGGCCGGCTTTTTTTTATTCGTGTAGGATTCTCGGGTAGTACCGCCCCTGTTTGGTCGGAGAAGTGAGCACACTGGAGTTACCTTTTCTGACTAGGTCTTGCGGTAATCCTTCAAAGTACGTGACCCGTATTTGCGCAATACACGACTGTAGCGCACAAGAGGCTGTCAATCCGTAGATTATGTGCAGTTGGCTGGAACATGGATACTCTATGTGTGGGTTCGAAACTGTAGGGCGCTGTTCGCATAGAGTTTTGCTTGGGGCAAAGTGAATGGCGGGTTTGTTGGCCATCACGAAGTAAAACAGGTCCAAATCAATACGGGCGGGGTTTTTGAATGAACGGGAGGAAATATCGTGGTTTCAAGCTGAATTCAGTAGTGTGTCAAATATATAATTTTCTTCACACCAATTGGAAAAATCGAACATTTTCTCGTGCAGTTTGTACTCGGTTAAAACCCAATGGTTTTTTTTCGCATTTTCTAGCTGCTGCGTTTGTTGCCGACGATGAAATTAACTGTTGCAAGCTGCTCCATGCGTAAATCTCAAGAGCACTCATTGCCTTTTCTCACCATGCGTTTGTCTCGGAATGAGACTGACTGGTGCTTGTCGAAACCGAGTTACTTTTCATTCCCATGGCTTCCTAGCCAATATTCGTTGCAAAGCATAGCTTTTGAAGGAACTACGACTCTCGAGGAGTTTTACTGTATGAAGAATTTGTTGCCCCTCAGTCTAGGGCGTACTGTAACTCTGCGTTAAAATGTTTGCGGCATATGTGGTTGAAGATCACATAAAAAGGTTTCCGTTCTACTGTTAAACCGGGTAGAATGTGTGAGACACACGGAAGAAAACGAATCGGTCAGGACGACTCTAACCTTGTTGAAAATTAGCAAAATTGGATTCAAAAACTCCATAAAAGTGAATTTCTGCTTGGCACCCAATGAAAGGTAGGACAATGCAGGATAATATTTGTGAATACCACTCGGGTAACAAGGTTGGTTGGTTGACTAAAGCACCCAGGTTAACAAAAACTGTCTGCCCCATAGAAACAAGATGGTTGGTCGTGATTGATAGTCGTTGGGCAGAAAGATACCCGGAACACGTTAGCGCTCGAAACAAATGTTCATTGTGAATAGAATACATGTATTCCCAATCTCTTTTGAGGGTAGGCAAATATACTTTTGGAGACGACAGTCTAATCATTCATTTGCCGCGAAGTAATTAACGGAACAGCAATGGACAACAATTCAGACAAAGCGGAGCGAAGCATTTTTTCGGCTGGTAGGGCAACCTGTTCCCAATTACGTAATTACTCCCGTCGAAGATTCTTTGACATTTGTACAGAAGTTGACTATAGCCTTAAATTCCTGCAGAGTTTTAATCAGTGTGAATCCATCATTGTGACTCTGTACGATGTTTTTTAAACCAAACTACGCCAAAATGAATGGACTGCTTCTTCAAATGTATGTCTAACAGTTCCTAATGCTGCATTCGATTCTCTGGCAAAACAGTCCATTTAGTTCCGATTGATGAACAGACTGCATCAAGTTGACTGCTAACTTATAAAAAAGACACCTGAACCAGAATTATTACTTAAGTTGCCCTTTGAAAACCTCAAAATGAGAAGCCTGTCTCATTGCTGTTCGGTTTTCACATCACACTAACAACTGCAGCTAATATCAAGACTATGAGACAGGTCTAGCGGTGTTTCATAATGCGTTAGACATGGATTTAACTGATATCAAGAATCCCTGTTGTAGTCCCTGGTTGCGCAGTC